GATCAACTTTGTCTTTATGAGTTTTTGTCAACCTCTCTATCACTGTAAGATGACCGACCTCTCTCCCATTTAGGTCGAGGGCTCAACATCAATAATCTATTGGAAGAACACATACTCTAGCCGTCGATAGACTTCCATTCATCCACCTTGTGTTTTGATTCTCGAGATGGACCCAACACTATTTTGGTATTAGGATTCTTCAGTTTGTTTGGCCCTTTGAGCTGTATGGTGGACACGGTCCATAGAGCTCAAATGCTCGATAATTCTTAAGGAGCTTGTGCTCTCCCCTCAAGTACATCGCAAGCTAGTTTTGTCATTTCACCTACTATTCTTTCTTAGAGTTGTTGAATTTGTTGTTGCACAAATTCTCGGACGGACTCCATGTTAGGAGTTTCTCTCAAGTAGGTTCCTTCTCTGTGATGTGTTCCTCTTTTTTGTTGAGAGCATGACTCCATGCTCACCACACCTTTTAGGATATTGACTTCAAAAATATCTTGTGGATCACACCAAAGGAGTGAAGCGTTAGACAAATGAGAGGATTAGACGGAGAAAGAGAAGTATACCACACAATAGCACAAGTTTTTTGGGAATGAATTAATTGTTCCTTTCTTGAAGAGATGACCATCTATTTATAGATCATAAAGCATGTCTAATAAGTTACATATTTGTCTCTATTTTGTAAAAATTTTACAAGTAATTAATACACAATTACACTTTTATTTTTTTTGTAATTGAGTGAAATTCTTTAATACTTGTAACCATCTTTAACGCTGTTGCGTATTCATAACTATTTGAAGTGGACATGAATGGTTTGTTGATACTTACATTCGGTCTTATGATAATCATGCAGTCAGTTGGAAGGCCTTACTGTAGCTGAAAGCTTTTTGCTACTTTGATCGGCCTTCTCAAGAGAACCCCCTGTAGAGATCTTCTAATTGTTAGGATGAACTTAAGCTATCTGGCAAAGGGTGTGTCACTTTAATCTGATGGACAACTCTCCTTCGAACAAGAGGTCTTTGTAGAGGGTTAATGAGATGTTTTAAGGAGTGACTATTGGTCCTCTTTGTGAAGGTCCTAGAATCGGTGGAGGGAGTTGTTTACACATTGACGTCTGTTCGATCACGTGTATAAAGTTTTGTCATTTTGTTGTACATTCCTTCTGTCGGCTCATGATTCCGACCAAAGAAAACGACATTTGACGTCTCCGTATTTCGACTGTTCTGATGCAGACCTTTGATATCATCTTAGCAAGATTAGTTAAATTTTCTCAATATTTATGTTGTTAAATTTTTATGTACAATTATAATTGTTTTTATATCATATTTATATTTTAAATAATGTAAATAATTTTCAAAATCCACAAGAATATCACAGAAGAACTAAAATAGGTCATCATATTATTAACTAAATCGTGATTATATGACATGTCATTTAGCATCCATTTGAAGGAGCTTTGTCATTCCGTAAAGCTCCTTCAAAAGACCCGTTGCAGAACGAGAAGAACGAGACTGAGGATCACCATCATGAAACAGTCAATTTTTTGTTTTCTTCCAATGGAGTGTTCGGAGACATTCGGAAAACAACCAATCAGCAAATAGATATTTTCCTGACGGCATTTAGCCTTTAGTGCGATTGAACGAAGCAGGATAATCGTTCTCAAACGAAGCCTTAACCAACAAACAAGTTAATTAATGCAAATGATATCACCTGTAAATGTAATATGGTGAGCTGTTAAACCTTTTTGAATTTGACTATTAATTTAGCTTGTACTATTATTCAACTCATGCTTAGATTATTACAAAAAGAAATATATATATATATATATATTTAGCCAACCTGTTCAAATTTTTTATTTTGTTTAAAGTTTGATGAATTTGAGCAACATGAGATGAGTTAAAAAGGCTTCGTTGGAATGAAGGACCGGACGACTCAGAATGAAGTCATGTTAGATTCTTATAGAATGTCAGACAATGTTGGAATTGTGATAAGAAATATACCTCAATTCATGTATTATATTTGCAATAACACAAAATGATTGTCCTTTTGGGGCATTTACATTCATATCATCCAATTCCTATGGTTTTTAATGTCTAGCACGTAAGCTCTAATCCTTACTTTTATACCACCAAAATCATTCATGTCGCATCAAATGTATCATCATTTTAACTTTAAAAAACTGAAATGCACATTTTTCATGTATATATAGGGTGACATATACATGTAACAATTGGAATTTAAGTGTTAGATATGTAAATATATAGGAATTAGCGGTGTCCTATGTAAGTCACGGTTGATCATGTAGGTCGTAGTGGTGAGCAATGGCGACGCTCGTAGGCTGCAGGAGAAGGAGTCAAAAGTTGCACTAGATGTAAGTCATGTAGGCCATAGGTGGTCACATAAGCTGTAGCGGTGATCTATGACGACCTTCTTATGCGGTGGGAAAAGAGTCGGGAGATGCACCAGCTTTAAGACATGTAGGCATAGTTGGTCATGTAGGTCGTAGTGGTGAATTGTGAAGATGTCCTTAGGCTGCTAAGGTAAGAGTCGGGAGTTGCACGAGCTATGCATCGTGTAAGTCATAGCTGGCTAAGTAGGTCATAGGGCTGAGTTGTGATGATGCCCATAAGTCGTGGGAGCAACTGTTTGGAGTTGCATGAGTTGTAGACCATGTAGGCAGTATTTGGTCACATGTGTCGTGGTGGTTAGTTGTAATGACATTCATAGGCCGTGTGGGCCGGAGTCGAGAGCTGTAAGTTGGGAATTTTAGGAGTCCGGAGAATGTCACTGTCTTCCGGGTGCATGGTTACATCGTCTTTGGGAGGTGTCATTGCATCATATTTGGGGTGCATTGTTACAATGTTTGTATCTTAGGTGTGCTGTTACAACATCGATATCTAGGGTCTGTTGTTACATCGCCTTTGGGAGGTGTCATTACACCTTTTTCGGGGTGCTTTATTACACATATGTCGCGCTTCAGTATTTCGCACCGTATGCTGGGATTTCGCAGCGCACAATGTGACTTCACAAGGGACTTCGCTTCAAGGAACATGTGGTGGCCAATGACGATCGATGATGGTCGTCAGGTTGTGGTCAGAGTTGGACGAAAGCGGTCGATGACGATCGATGATGGCCTTCAAGTGGTGGTTAGAGTTTGACTACGACAGTCAAAGGTTTTGTAGGCGGCGGTCGCTGGAATTTGTCGGAGGGTGGCAACATTTAGAATTGACTGAAGGGGGACAGCGACCGGAGGTGCTTGAAGTTGGCCATAGGCGAAGGTAATCAGAGTTAGTTAGAAACAACAGTGACTAGAGCTACCAACTGACGACAGTCAGAGTTGGCAGAGGCGACAGCGATCAGAGGTGCTTGAAGTTGTGGTGGCCGGTGTTCGGCGAAGGGCGGTGGCAATCGTAGTTGGTCGAAAATGACAATGATAAAACGGTGGAGGCTAGAGTTGGCACAAGGCAGTTGTGTCGGAGGGCAACGACTGCTGAAGTTGGTCGAAAGCCACAGTGACTAGAGGTGCCAAAGGCGAAAGTGGTGGCTGGAGGTGTCAGAGGCAGCAGTGGTTGAAGGTGTTGGAGGTGGCGATGGTTGAAGGTATTAGAGGTGGCGGTGATGGAGCCCAATGGGGGTGCCAGAGGCAACGACAACCCAAGTTAGCCGAAAGTAACGACGGATGGAGATGCTAGAGGTGTCGAAGGAGTTGACAGTTGATGGTGGCGGTAGCCAGTGTTAGACAGGGAGTGTCAACAACTGAAGTTGGCAGAAAGCGATGACAGTGACGACCAGAGTTAGTTCACAACGACGACCAAAGTTAGCTGGCTGTGGCGGTGTCAATGACTGTCAGTGTTGGTCGATAGTGGCGGCGACGACTGCCGGAGTTGGCTGGCTACTAGAGGAGCAAGAGGTTGATTGTGGTCAGAGGCGGCCGACAAGTATTGTTTGACAGTGTTGGCGATTATAGATGTAAGAGGCTGACGATGATTGGTTGTTATTAACATTTGTAGGAGCATGCAAGAGGTTGATTGTGGTCAGAGGCGGCCGACAAGCATTGTTTGACAGTGTTGGCGATTGTAGATGTAAGAGGCTGGCGATGATTGGCTGTTATTAACAGTTGTAGGAGCAGGAGGCCAACGGTGGTTAGCGGTGGTTGGCGGCTCCAGTAGAAAGAGGTGTAAACTAGATCGTCGGTGCAGGATTCTGGACTTTAGCTCCCTCCTCTTCAAGCTCTAACCTCCCTCTTACTCAAGGGTCTAGTCCCCTTCACAAAAAAGGGATAGGGTTCTATTTATCGAGTCTAGGTTGTAAATGAAAAAAAAAATCTAAATCACTCTTAATCTAATGGCCTAGAGAGATCCTTTTGATAGAACGATATTCGGTGGATATTTGAGTGTCTTAATGATGTCAAAATCAAGTGATCTTATGCTCGTTGGATTTTTTTGTTAAGACACTTGATTTAACTATATAAATGTCAGATTCTGAATTTGTTTGACTATCTGATTATGCGTTGAAATCTTTCAAAAGTGGCTTGATGGCTAGATCTAAGCTTGATTTGACTCATATCAATCCATTTTTAGTATCATTGGGCATGTCTCGTAGAGTCAATCAGCTTAACTATATGTTTGTTGAAATCAAAACCTTGGACTCTTTTGATCAAAATTTGAGTGTTTTTTGCTCCAAAAATTATCTCAAGATTTGTATTTACCCTGAGATTTGTGTCGAACAATCTTTGCTTATACAATTAATACGCCAAGTATCTCATTTATTTTGACACCTTAAATTCTAGCACATTTATCAATTTAAGTTTAACGATTTATCAATAGCATGTCTTTTTTCCCCTTTATTTTGTAACCCTTCGGGTATTTTTGTGAAAAAACAACAAAAAAAAAGGAAATTAAAATATAATAACAACCTTAAAAACCTATTCAATTCAAATTCTTACAATTTCTATACATCATATACCATTATTACTATAAATTAGAAATAAAAAAAAAAAAACGCAAAACATTGTGAACCCTAAAACCATATAAATGGTTGTCTGCTACTCAATCAGATCAACAGAAATTTACTCGGCAAGCCGGGTTATCTTTTCTGGAAATTCAACACCTTGATTGCAGTTCCAAATAAGCCAGCAAAGAGAAATGCAAATCCGACGACCATAAATGCGGCGAAACCTAGGAAATCATGCCGATATCCGAAATAACTCCTCAAAAACTCTGCCACTGTTTCATTTGTGTCTAATGGTTCATTAACATCTCCATATTGTGAAGTAAGCATTCCATACAATGTCCAGGCGACAGGGCAAGCCCAATAATACCAACTCCACCATACAGGCATTCTCTGCATCATAAATAAATAAATATCATTAGTAAAGAGTCAATTGCCAAAATAGTCCCCAACTACTTCGTGAGATCATTTTAATCACAGAATCAATAAAAATGTCAAATTAGCTCCAAACACTTTTAATATCGGCTAAAATAGTGTACCATAAAGATAATTTTAGCTCCTATTAAACTGGTCTAAGTTGACACTTTTATAGACCTTCATACTAAAATTTAGCCTTCCAAAGAGTCAGGGACCATTTTGACATTTTTTTCTATCAATACATATACCATAAAAAATGAAAGCATGAGAGAGAGAGAGAGAGATTCACCATAAAAAATGAAAGCATGAAAATCCAGAGAATAGGTGAGAGAGAGAGAGAGATTCAACTTACTGGTCTTGGGATTACAAATCCAGAGAATAGGTTCCATATGCCATAAAAAGCAGATGAAACAACAGCGGCCACATGGAAATTGGGGGTCACACCAACCGCCAGCATGCCGTAGAAAGTGAAGTATAGTAATGTGAAATACATAAAGAAGATGTAGCATAAGAGCTTAGAGGCAGTCCATTCAAATCCAACCATAGAATATACTATGATACCGTACACTACTGACTGAGCCAAAACATAAGGGAGCTCAACAACAACCTACATGGAAGGAAGTATAAGAGACATAAACATGAAACATAGCACCAACAAGAGAATGTTGTGGTGGTGCGGCAAACTTACTTGTCCAAAGGCATATGGAAATGGCGAGTACATTCCTGCAGCTTTCTCTCTATAAAACACCGTTCGCTCAATCGACACGACACAACTGGTCTTATTGATGTAGAATATGATATCCCCATGAATAGAACCGCAGAATACATAGAACCCATTGCATTGAATAAATCTTGTCGTTTTCCCCTAAAATTATTAAGGTAGAGAGTAAAACTAATTGTTCTGATGTAAATTTCTTGTACAAAGGAGTAGTTAAATCACTCTTATTTGAAAAGGGGCACACCTTTTTTTGCCAAGACCCCAGAAGATTCCTCCAAACATGAAGGCTATCATAATCGTAAAGAAGAATCTCACTGCAGTATATGAAGGGTTTCTCCAATATGACAGGCGTTGTTTCCACAGGCAAGCCATGCATTGAGTTGAAAAAGATTGTGAATACTGGGTAGGAAAATAAAGATCAACTGTTCCTGGATGCGGTTTACTAAGTTCTCTCATCAGTGTTCTGTTCCCCCTGTAAAGTAATTGAGGAATGCAATCTATCAGGCGTTCGGGATCATTTTTGTTTTTGTTTTTCATTTTTTGTTTTTATTTTATTTTGTTTGTCTTGATTTGAAACAAAATATGTTTGGTATTTTTGATTGAGATATGGTTGTTTTTGAAAAAACTCAAACCAACCAAACTTGTTTAGCATTTTCAAAAGCATGTTTATTCGATCTTAGAAAAAATAAACATGTTAAAAATATATTAAACAAAAATGTTTTTAAGAAGGGAAGAAACAAACACAAAAAAATAATAAAATAAAATTGATCCCAAACAAGCCACAAGGAATTGAGCCACTTAACCACTTACTGATACATGTCTGAATTCTTGTATAATTCACTAAAATTAACTCCTAACTCATCCTCTTTTTCAGGTGTGGTCTCTTCCAACATCCATGTAGCAGGATTATAACCATCTTTAATTTTCCTGACTCCTCGAATTTCCTAGAAAGTTAAAATGACATGGTTTCAATAATTACATTTATTTAAGCATACATTATAAATAACTTAAAAAAAAAACATTTTGTTTCACTACCTCAAAATAAGAAATAAGGTGGCAGGAATTTTTGCCTAGTGGTCCAACATATATCTCTTCACCTCCTCTTTTCATAAGGAACAGCTAGAAATAAACAAAGTTTAAGTATAAAGCATAAGATTAAGCCAAATAAAATTTACTTTAAGAGAAGGAATTTTTTTTCAAAAAAAAAAAGCTTATATGCATAGTTATTGCTCACTTCGTCAAATGCTTCAAATATATCGATGCTCGGTTGATGAATTGTGCAAACAACTGTCCTTCCAGTGTCCACTGTATTTCTCACGGTTCTCATAACAATAGCTGCTGCTCTAGCATCAAGGCCAGAAGTAGGTTCATCCATGAATATGATGGATGGATTACCAACAAGCTCAACGGCAATGGTTAACCGCTTGCGTTGCTCAGTGGACAATCCACTAACACCAGGCAATCCAACTAATGCTCCCATCAATGGAGTCAACTCTACTAGCTCCATTACCTCGTTAATGAACATCTGATATGCACATTTAATAGTCATAAGATTTGAAATAATGAAATGAGAAAGTAGTAAAAAGTAAAACTACAGATCAACTTACTTGTTTTTGTACAGAGTCAACATCAACAGGCAGGCGAAGCCATGCTGAAAAAACAAGGGATTCATAAACGGTTAAATTAGGAGAGTGAATGTCATTTTGTTCGCAGTAACCTGATACACGGGCAAAAGTTTCTTGTTTCTTGGGATAACCAGATATGTTTATATTTCCCTCTATATATCCTCCTAGTTTTCTACCAGCCAGTACATCCATAAGAGTAGTCTTCCCTGCTCCACTAACACCCATTAATGCTGTAAGAACTCCTGATCTAAAGGAACCACTCACGCCCTTTAGTAGCACCAATTTCTCCTCCTCAATACCATGTATTTTCATTTCCTAGATACATAAATTTATAAGATATCAACATTTATGTCGAATAAAGTGAAATTTTATAGCTCAAGCATTGATTTATCAATTACTGAATGAAAAATGTTACCACGGGCATATCAACTGAGTATCTAATATTGTCAAAGGTGAGTGAAAGCGGTACAAATGGAAGCACCATTCCCTTCATCTCGCTTGCTTGTGCAACATCAGATGCGTACATGGGCGGTTTCTTATAGTTATTTGTATCATATAGGAAATTTTGCTCCTTTTTGGTGGGAGGTGTCTTTGATGCAGTTTGGTGATCAGTTTTCCTCCCATGAATAAATCCTTTTTTGAACTCTCCTTTAATATTCATTTGCTTTTCTCTCATAGAAACTTCAGATGTAGTAGCAGTATGACTGCCTCTAGATACTGCATGAATTAAACAAGATACACTTTAGACTAAAGATGAAAATAGAGTTCCGTTTTAAGCTGTTTGAAATTGTTATGAGATCCCTCACATTTAAGAAAGGTTAGAGCAATTGTGAAAAAGAAGTTGACAAGGATAACATATCCAATTGTTGCTGCTACACCAATCCAGTACCATTTTGCTTCTAGAAACATTCCGCGAGCTTTCAAAATATTGAGGCCAAGCGTCTGATTTGTTCCAGGCATGATCTGCAATAGAAAAATTAGATAATAAGTTATTGTTCGGTTCTTTTCTTCTCATATTATGAGATTTTTATACTTGCTTGGCAGTTTAGGATGGAAAATATTAAGATGAAAGGCATTTCATCTTGAACTGCAAAACATTTTCAAATTGCAAGACATCCCTTCTATTCTAGAAGAATCAATCAATCGAGTTCATAAAAAATGGCTAGTTTCTGCTCCATAAAAGCCAATATCTTGCAACTTGGGAAGAAGTGTCCAACATCCACAGTAAAATTTGGCTTTAGATATCCTTGGTCAAAATTTTTCGATTAAAAATCATCTTACTTGGCTCCAACTCTTTCCAAGGAATTCATTCACAAAAATAGCATTTTGTGAGTACATGAGAGGTGACATCCAGAATCCCCAAATCCACCATTTATTCACATCACCTGCCAACATAGAGCAAAATGCTTAATGTTGAATGTTACAACTTAATTTGTTTAGTTTCATCATCATCAGCTGCCTTAGCCCAACTATTTGGAATTCAATTTAAGAATTCTAATTTTTCATTCATTCCAGCAGATAAATCCTTTAAAACTAAATATGAATATTTTGAATGAAATCCCATACCATGCGCCAAGATGTATCCACCTAAAACTACAATCACAAGTAGTGAGAAAGATGCTATTGTGCCCGCAATGACAAGATTTCGGCCAATTACGGCGATGAAGCGAAATAATCCAGAAGACATCTGATGGACTAGAGCAAGCAGTAGATATTGCTTGAAGAATCTGTGCAAGAACATCAAGATGTTAATTCTTAAATATAAAACGATTAGAAGTCCCTTGACTGTTTAAATGAGACCATTTTAGTCCCAGAGTTTATAAAAGCGTTAAATTAGTCTCAGGACTCTTTCAGTGGGGCTACAATAGTCTTCACTACATACCATTCAACCCATATTAAAAGTGTTTGGGAACTAAATTTGATTTATATAAACTATAGGACTAAAATGGCTCCTTGCAAATAGTCAAGGACCATTTTGACCCTTTTCTCATTCTAAAATAATAAGGCATCTTAGAGCGTGCAAATATAGTAAATTCTCACCTTGCTGCACTAGGATCAAATCCTATAACGAAGTAATTGAGGAGCACCCAAATTGCGACTTCCAAGCATGAGACAGGAATCTTCAAAATCCATACAGGTAAAGCACAGACCCAAGAAGGATAGAAGAGGTAGTCCCTTTGTTTAAAAAAAACAGGCAGCTTGATTACAGTCAAACCAATCTCAGAGAGTCCATTAAACATCGACATGATGAGTGAAAAGTAAAGAGCACCCATGTAAGTCATTCCATCATTTAAAGTGTTACGGTGCAGGTTGCTTCTCAAGAACATCGTCATCGCAATTAATGCCATGACTGCAATCTGCAACAAAAGATTTTATTTAAATTATTGTAGAAAGGTTTGTGTAAAATTTTAGTCTTAAAATTTCACAAGAGATGTAAAACTCACTTGCAATGCCCTGAATACATACACAAAGGAGTTCCTTTTCATTAACAACCATTCTCTGTCAGCACAAGCTTTCAGTAGTTCTATCTTTCTCACACCATACTTTGAAGTAGTCAACGCTGCAGGATGGCTCTTTCTCTTGTCAAATGGAAAAGAAAGATCTCTTCCAAGCTTTTCTCCAACATGAAATGAATGAAAGGCAGTTGCAAATTCTCTTACAGTAACAAATCTGTAAGGTTTGTTAGGTCTTGCCCAATATTGCTCTTGGTCTTTCTTGGATGTGACCTATGAACGAAACAGGAAGATTAACTAGCTTCAAGTTAAAATAGGAATTAAGTGTTTAGTTTGAGAATAAAAAAACGAACTTGTTTGAGGGGCAGCAAGAACAAGGAGGGTAGAATCAATGTGAATGAATGGGGGAAAGGGCCAAGGTGTCTTACTAGAAATAATTAAAGATTTGCATAAAGTGGAGGTAGCAACTTATGCAACAATAAAAGTGAATGCATAAGGCCTCATAAAGCTAACCCCAAATAATTTGTGCAACTTGTAATGATGAAGATGATGATGATGAAGAAGATGAATAATGAACAAGTTACATGAAGGCTTATTGGGAGTAGCATACTTCTTGCAAGAAGTCGGCAACACCTTTCCTTTTGGGGCATTTGAAACCAATCCACTCAAAGAATTCAAGCACGTTTGCAGTGGATCCTTGATATACTATCTGCCCATCGGATAAGAGAATTATATCATCAAAAAGCTCATATGTCTCTGGTGCTGGTTGGAGTAGGGAGATAACTCCTGTTCCACCAAGAATGTGAATTGCTTGCCGTATTGCATTAACCATCTGGAAGGTTGTGGAGCTATCCAAACCATTCGAAATTTCATCCATAAATAATGCTTGTGCTGGTCCAACCAACATTTCACCTATGTGATATTTCACATCATTCCGTATCATTCATAGATATTCATTACATGTGTATTAACTGGAAATGATTTGTCAATAAACAAGAGTAGCTTTTCATCAATTTGATTAGTCTACCTGTGGTGACACGCTTCTTCTGCCCTCCTGAGACGCCCCTTAACATTTCATCTCCTAGCAAGGTCTCAGCACAAATATCCAATCCTAGAATCTGTTATTTTAAGAAACAGGGGAAGCTCATTTTAGTTTCTTTTGTTGGATCTAAGAAAGTTGATAGAGTTTCTTTTAGGGCCAATTTGTTTCATTGCTTGAAAGTGTATGGATTTCAAATCAAGAAGTAAGATGCATCTAAGTTACAGTGGCATCTATACTTTTGCAGTAACTCACTTATTCACCTAGACTATGTTTTATTTGGGCTACACCGAGTTTCATTTCTACTCACTCTCATAATAATTTTTTTTTTTAACTTTTATTTTTATTTAAAAGTAATATTATAACCCATAATCTCAGCATTTTAATATTATTCCATTCTTTTAAAAGGTAAAATTAAAGGTGCTTACTTGGCCACAAGAATGAAACTCACTTGCCACCCTTTTTTAAGGAAGATTTGAATATTAAAACTCAATTCTACATGATTTCAATAAAAAAAATGCTTGATCTAACTTCTAAAAATGGGATTCAAGCACTTCTAACGCTCCCCGTGAAACCAATTGGACCTAAATTACCTAAATGTCAACCACAGAAAGTTACCTTTAGTATATAATCTGTAATAACTCCATTTTTCTTCCCTTCCATTGCAGCTGCCTACAAGAAAAAGAAACAGAATCTGAATACATCAACCATACTATGCATAAACCATGAGCAGCAGAAAATTTATGAATGGAAGAAAGAAAATTACAGCACACAGTACAAAGAAAAACACTATGTGAGGAAAGCAAGTTTTATCATTTATAATAGTAAACACTTTTAACTCCAATAAAATCTAATATAACTAAGATGAATTTGCATGAAATAGGTTTAATAATACTTTAGAACGGTGTGATATTGTGGGGCCCAAGTTGAGCCCGATACATAAACATCAAACTAAAATCCAAAGCCAATGAACAAGGGTCGCTAATATTATATGAATCAAACACTTATTTCACTTTTTAATATTATATGGAACTAATTTTTACTCGGATGTGATCTCATAAAAAAATACATTTTCATCATCATAGTGTCCCATACAAAGAGCCCACTCAATTAAATGAAGCTTGTACAAGAGTAACCAACTCTCAAAAATTATCATAAAAGGCATAAAAATGCATGGAAGCCACGTTTAATAGTATAAACTAAAAGAGAACCGATGTTAGACCTCAAACACCAGCAGTCAAACCGAATTTAGCTCCAAAAAAAATTGGTTTATAAGTGAAGGCAAACCATTTAGTATTTCACAACCAATATATTTTTCAACTCTTTGATATTTAATTAAACTGAATACTCTCAAATACCTTGATAATCTCCTCTCACACGAGAGCTCTCCACTTTGGTGATGCTACCCTCAAATGGAAGTATTTTAACATTATCAAGAATCATGCTATATGGACTGGTATAGAAGTTACCAACACTTGATAATTTTTCGACCATGATAAAGGCCATTCAATAGACTTGAATCCTACGGAATCATCAACTTTGATATCACTTGTTAGGGAATGAAAAATTAAAGAAAATTGAAGTTGTACTGAATACACAAGTGGATAAACTCATTTTCAATCCAAAAGACTCAGCATAAGGGTGAGGGGGGTGAATTATTTGATATTATGATATTACTAATATATTTTTAACTATTTGATATGAAACTAAATCTATAACCCTTGCATGCATCAAACTACTTTTCAAATAACTGATATGGGCTTAAACTCTGACGTGCCGTAACCACATGAATCATTTGTTTTTAGTCAAAACATCAACTCTAATATCACATCTGGCTCTAATACCTTTCGTTAGACGAACAAGCACCACGGTTGCACATATAGCCCAGTTTACTATTAGTTAAACACCAATCAACCCAAAGAACTGAACCAAAAGTGTCATATTAAAAACTAAACTCTTATTTAACATTCATGTGTGAATATTTCTTACTCTGAGATTGATCTCAACAAATGCCATTTGCAACACTCATTGGAGATGAATGGAGAATGGAGATTCAAAAAGTTGAGCCAGAATCATTGGGATAAGGCTAATGATAATGACGATGATAAGCATTTTAAAGGCAGAAGAAATCAGCAACAATTCTGCTTATCTAACCTTCATAAAGACATCTATGTCAGGATCTGGTTTGATGTTTGCTGCCTTCTCTCTTCTTGCTAGCTCAGTTAACATCTCTGCATTATAGATTCAGGAAAATGAATACAACTTTTGCATAGAAAAACCAAACAATTTTCCAATTATCTGTATGGCTATTGTACCTACCATACCGAGAGCCAATTCCTTGAAACCTAGAAGAGAAAGACAGTGTTTCTCTCACTGTCAACTCCGGAATATGAACATCATGCTGACTTATGTATGCTGCTGTTCTCTGTGGAACAAACTCATCCATTTCATGGCCATTGTAAGTTACCTTCCCAAAAACCTGCATCATAGTTTCAGGCAGGATCCACATCTTGTAAGAAAAGATTTAAATTACGCTAACCCGCAAAGAGAGTAGAATAGAAGAGAAATTAGAAGATAGGCTTAAGGACCTTAAGATCGGAGCTTAACTTTCCAGCAAGCGCTAACAGCAATGTGGTCTTCCCTGAAGCTGGGGGACCTAGAAGCAGAGTCAACCTGGAGATGATATTTAGTTTATCAAGATGAGAGATTAATCAGAAAATAAACTAAGACAATTACAAATCTCATACGAGTTCATAAAAGGGAAGAGACCTGCGAGGCTTGATGATTCCACTAATATCATTGAGGATTGTTATAGTTTTCTTTGTTCTTGGGAGTATGTGAAGAAAGTTTGCAACCGGCTGAAAAAAATTAATTAAAAAAGAAAAACCATTTCAGCACTTATAAATTTACAGAAGAACACATAGTATTAATCCCTCCAATTACCTCGATGGTATTGACAATTGATCTGAAGAAGGAAGGCAAACCTCTGCTGCCTGCATAAGCTTCAGCGCTAATACTGAGTTGTTCATACCTCACCTCTATTGTCGGGAAATCAATTCCTACTCTGGAGTTTACGTACAAAAATTCGTGTGAGATGCAAATGAAAAGCTAGCCATGTTTAATTCTTATTTTCATATAAAAATGTCGTATCTGAAACGATCCTACTTAATTTCTGTCTATGAAAAAATAAAATAATTGAGAATACTGAAACAAGTGCAAACTTCCTTATTAGTATTTTCAGAATCCCCCCAAAAAAGAAAAAATCTCTGAAACATTTGTTTCATCGTTCGTTTCTTATCAATGCTCTGCTTCTATGAATCTTACTTGTCGATTCGATCCTTGAGCCTCATAAGAAAGCCCTCGTGGTCTTCATGGGCAACTCTCATCAACCTGTCTAACAAGTTCTTCCTCTCTTGAAACCCTAAACTCTGGATATTGATCTCCGTGGGATCTTGACCAATGTTGAGGATTCCCTTCCTCATCCTGTTCCAGCTCGGAAGCCTCTCGAGAGCAGCCCATTTCAGTGCCTCCTCGTCGTCTTCGCTCTTCAGAGAACTAAAGAAGCTCGTGTCCCCTTTCCACAGTTCAGAGCTGTTTATGCTCATGGACCAGCGAGCTTCCCCCATAATGATCGAGACCACTCCGACGAGGAAGACGAAGAAGGGAACATATTTAAATCGAGCGAGCGAAGATCGGCGCTAATATTAGGATTAAATTTTAATATTTAATATTTAATTAAACTTTAAAATTTAATGTATTTTTATGCATAAATTTTAATATGATTGTGAAAATAAAATATTATATAATTAAATATCAAATTTTAGATGGTAGATACATAAATATATAAAAATTGTGTGGTATGTAAATCTTCCATTTTTTTTTCAAGCATTAATTTAATAATTAGCATTGAGATTAATGGACAAAGTCATATAATATAGTAGTTTCCCATATATACAGAAAAAGATAAATAAATATGTGTTATTTCAAGATATTAAGTCCTTATTATTGAATATTATTATAGATTTTGATATTATAAAAGGATAAATAAATATGTATTATTTCAAGATATCAAGTCCTTATTATTGAATAATATTATAGATTTGGATATTTTTATCAATATTTTGCCATAAGATTTAGAACTGTTGGATTTATACCGGATAAATTCATAGTAAGTTTTATACATATTCATTTAAAGTATATCTAATAATTTTCGATCGATAGAAATAATTAAAATATGTTGAAACATTATTTTTTCATGAATTTTTAAAATTGAGAAGAAAAAAATTTATCTTGTGTTGGATCATAATTTTTATTTGATAGATCTTCATACTTACTGTACGCAGAAGAAGTGTCGGCACAAATTTCAATGCAATCTGACGGTTCATTTGAGAAAAGGCATATTAAAGGAGGGTCCACAGGCAGAAGACTTGGAGACCAACTTATCCGATCAGACATATCAAGTCTGACAAACTAGTCCTATCAATACCACGCTAACTAAGGCAACCAAACATCTAGAACCTAAGCAATTCGACTACAAGCGAAGCACACGATAGCCCAAACTATTTGTCATGATGAAAGCATTTTAAGAGAGAAGCTAACACCTCGGGTCCTGCAGTTATAAGAGAGACAACCACCGGTCTCCCTAAAATATCATCAAAAATCAATAAGACGACAAGTCTTATCCATCCCTCAAGATCTCTTCGTCTAAGAGTAACTATCTATGATATTATGGTGATTCACACTCTACCCAATAGTCTAGCTTCACTTTGCATACAAGAGTTTCTTATTAGGGATTGAGGGTCGATGACTAAACTTGATCAACTGATCGTCACTACTTAGGCAATCGAATCAATGAAACCCTTCGCCAATAAAAGATCAGCCAACAAGCAGCATGAAACCTAACTGATTGGTGGGTCTAGTCTAGCCTACCAAGGGCTTGTCAGTCCGACCAGCTAAGCCCTAGAGTAGTCGGGCTCTAAGCCCACATATGTAAAATAACTAGAATAACATGTCCATCCCTTACTAAAGCGGGGCATAAATGAAAATTTACATATTTTACCCCTTCTCTATAAAGATAAGATCATTATATGGATAAAAGGTTACAAACTTGCTCTAAATTACTTTCCATTCCTTGCACATATCTTTATATTTCTCTGTCTCTCATTCTCTCTCTCCTATCTTATGCTTTATTCTATAAATGTGGTTCATGAATAAATCATGATTGAATATCCAGAAAGGTGCGTTGAGCGTTGATCATGTTAGCAACAAGAAGAGGGGTGGCACAAGAAAAATAAATCTATAACAGAGATATCATCAATACAAAGTGCAATAAAGAGCTTGTGCAGTAATAAATCCAAGAGTGAAGGACGTTATGATGAATAACCTCAAGGAGATTTTGGCTTAAGGAAGGGAGCAAAACCCCCGATAGAAATCATTGGCACCCGACGACCAAAGGGTATCCTTCTTAAAGAAAGTGTTAGAGATTCCCAGTACATCGATAGTGTTGGGTCGATGCTAATAAACTGACAATAATTTGGGTAAACCAAGGCATCCTGCCAGTCAGAGAGCATACTCTCTTGGTAAATTTCTGAAGCCAAGCCCCCGGAGAGATTTAAATTAATGCGCTCCATCGCACAAGTCTTAGATTGATCCAAACGACCACTTAGATCCTTTGAATAGCTCATTTGTTTGCTAAAGATCATCGACAAGCTGAAATGCAGTCTATTCTTCACTGTGATGAGGGAGTCGGCTCCTGGGTGGTTCAATGGTTGTCACCAAGAGTGATCACTTCATTCGTTAATTTCAAAAGGATGATTATGTCATAGTTTATTAGCGTCAATAAGCCTCAAAATAGTTCACAAGCCCAGTTGCAGATCACGCAAGAGCAAAGTGACAGCCCCTGCTCATTTATCACTTGATTATAGAAGGAAAGTTGTGGGATATGGAACCTGCGGTAGCACACGCTGACCTGGCTCAAGAGCTAAAAGCATGTCCATTCTGACATGTTCTAGGCTTGCAGTGACTAAAGATCATGGTCAAGCTGTTGAAGCTGGTCAACAATCACATCTTGGCTGAGGAGTACAAATCCATCCCTACTTCCATCAGAGCAGACTCTTCCACCAGTCGTCTGCATAAGAGGGCTCCCAAAGGTGATAGCTAGATGCCGAAGGAATACTTACGTCCTTTCACCCATCCACCGTATGAGAAAAATTGGTGGCCTTGAGACAACAAAGGGGCTGATAGAAGTTACAACTGAGGATCTTAGGCTTGTTACCCTGGCCAGAGGCTGGCTCGTTATAATGAGTGCTCGCTGCATGATTAAGAAGTACCATAAGTGACCCTATTGAGGGCATCAATGGCTAAGCTGGTGCAGGCTATACAGAACAAGAAGTATTTCAGTAAGTCACCGCCAATAAGGACCAGCGCTTTTATTTGGGCACTAAGAAATATTGTGTATCTTGAAGACCATAGTAATAATACAAAGGAATAATAATACCTTCGAAGCCTGGTCAAAGTTGATCATAATTGGAAAGCTCGTAGTTTGCAACACTAGAAGTAGCGATTCAGAGTCATGGGAAGGCACCAGTCAAAGTGAATGCTATTTATATAGTTGGAGTGGTATCATGACCCGTCCCATGACTTTGAATTAACTAAGGCAGGAACAAACAATCAGAAAGTGTGATATAAATTTATTGTATTCAGCTACTATGAAAGAGCCACTAAATGAAATAAAATAACTTTACCTCATTACTTGTTCTGTTCGTCTTCTATAAATGTTACTCTTTTTCACTCATCTTTTAATCAACTAATTAAACCTAAAAAAATAGTTTAAAAATAATTGTGAGCTAAAAGAGCTAGTGAATACTCTTACTTTTAAACTAAAACAATGCAAGGGAAAAGAAAAAACAATATGCATGTTAATTAATCTTCTTAATAAACAATATAAACATTTCACATGATATTCAATGAATTTTATTATATCATTAACATACAAATATTATTTTATCTATGCACAACCATCACAATAGCAGTATCTAAAAATTGTATCACTTAAGATATTTTAATATCAATATCCTTTTCCATTTACATGCGCAAATACATTGGTGTTCCCCCACTAGTACCATCAAGAGATGATTTCATCATAATTAAGCATGCACATACAAACATCTATGCAAATCATATCATTCATAATTTCATATCACTAAAAATGCATTAATTATTTAATGTTATGATATTATAAGCATTCACATCAAAATGACAGATAAAATTTAATAATAATATAATCAATCACATTAATCAAGCATAAGCAACCCATAAAATTGGATTAGAAGAGATATCAAAATGATACTACAATTTAAGAATATGAGTGCTCACCTCATTGACAAACAATCTGCTTTCTCTTAACATCTATCATTCTAAAAATTGAAACCTAATCACGATATTTATATTCTCAAACTTTAATTAAAATTTTCTTTTGTCTAGCTATTAACTTTATGTTATGCATATAAAAAATTATCATATTTTACTTTATGGATTTCCTTCACCCTCTGATCTCCCTCTGTCTCGCGTCAATTTATATGTGAACTGACCTCCTTGGCTTCCTGATCCTTTCGCTTAATCACTCATTTTTCAGTTGTCAGACTCCTCGCTTCCTTTACTTAACTTCTTCTTCTTCTCTTCCGGTTGATTATTTCCTCTTCCCCTAAGTAACATAACCATTACGAGCTTTTCCATTTACAAATCTCGTCCTTGAAATTTATAAACGGAGCTCAAGCAAGTCAACATTAGATATCCATAAAACTAGGTCATTTATTAAGATGAAACGTAATCACTATAAAGATAAAGGCTCAATACAAGGTGACTCAACTATACTTCGGATAACAATACACATTTACTAAAATAAGGCAGTATGCTAGGAAAAAAAACCAAACTCATCAAACCTCATCACCGTAAGCGGTTGTAGGTTGTTTAGGATCACAATGAGTAAGGAAATATACTTGAGGTTGAACAGTTTCCTTTGTTAACTTTATGTCTATAGACTATTTTTTTATGCCCACCTGCAGACTTCTATGAAGGAGATCCACCTGATTTTTCATATTTAGCACTATTTTGGCCAAGAGATGGGGAACACCATGCTATATGACCAGGTTGACAACACTAATAACAAGTTTTGAGCACATTAAGCATTCAACTTTATGTTTTCTTCTGCATTTGGCCCAAATGACTCTAGTATCTTGAGTCGTACATCTGCTAACTCCACCCAAATTATTCTTTAACCTCTTCTTATTGGATCCTTCTAAGATATCAACATGCTCTTTTGTAGTCTTCCTCTTGTGCATCTCCTTACACTTCTGAGTATGCTGAAAATTGATCTCCACCATTCTAGCTTGTTCCACCAATATCAAGTATTCATCAATCCCTAAAGGTACTAATAGCTGTCTGATATAATCCTTTAATCCAAAAAGGAAGTTGTAGCAAGTTTGTTTTCAGTAGCAATCAACGGTGACGCATACCTTGATATTATAGTGAATTCTGCTTCATACGACATAACTGTCTTCTCTCATTGCATTAACTTGATGAATCTATCATGCATTTTTCACTGAGCGTACAGGGGTATGAACCACTCTCTAAAAAGATTCACAAACTCTTCCCAACTT